AATACATGAGGCTGAACTGTTTGTTTGTTTGTCTTCCTAGATCTAATAATGTCATTTTTTTCTAAATCAGTGTTAATATTATGTTTTACTGTAGGGACGCAGCTCAGTCTGGGAGCTGGGGTATAAAATTCACCCCAAGCATGCAGCAGGCTGCACAAATGGAAGGTGGTTTGGGTTCATGTACATGCAGAACTGCAACAGCCTCTGTGGTTGAGGTTGAAGGAGGTTTGTTATTTATATGGAATGTTCTGTTCCAGAATAAAACATGGCAGTTATGGTGCTTTACTGTTTTCCAAAACACATCTGATATCTTGGGTACTCCCATGGTGTTTCCCTGTGAACGCTGATATAAGAGCTGGTTTTTACTAACTCTGTGTGCCACTAAACACAATTATGAGGAGTGAATTTGATGGAGGGGATGAAGGTCTGCAGCATTGTTTCCTAGAACTCTGGGCAGGCTTTTTTTTCCTATTTCGGTAAAGATTTGAAGATACATTAAACAAAATAACGCAAATGTAGAGAATGCAGTGAATTTTCTCCAAAAGGCTAACAGTTGATCAATACATACTTGTAAAATGCATACTGTTCTTTTTCAGTGTACTCAGGCAGGAGCTGGTGAGTTCTTTCAGGATCCAAGAGTGAGAGCTAGCTAGGAATGATGTTGGAAGTGCACTTCAGGGAAGCTTGAGTTGCTTCCTTCTGCTCTTCGGAAATCTGTCATAATCTCTGACATCTGTGATTCAACTAATCTCCTGAGTAAAGAGTAATAAATTACTTCCTTGATGACTTTATATAATCAGATACTCTTTAAAATTCAGGAGCTAGCATGGGTTGTGTGTTCAAAGCAGTAGATGGACCTTTTCTTTATCTTGTCTCTGAAGGTATTTTTCTTATTTTCTGAGTTTTGTGTTCCCTGTCACTTTCGTGATACAAATGAGTGCTGCTGCCTCCAGGTTTAGCTGGCACTTGCAGTCTTTGTGATGCTGTGCTGCTGGTCTTGTGTTTTTCCTGTATCTGGCTGTCATCCAGAATCTCTCAGTTCATGTTTTATCTTTCTTGTTTGTTTTTCTTCACTCAGACTATCTACTTTATTTTTGCTGTGGTTTAGCTGCTTATCTTTGAAGTATAATTCCCATCTTTCTCCACCCCCTTGTGTTTTCTGATGACAACTTGTTTATTTCATTTGCTTTTTACAGGGCTTCATCTGAGCTGTGTGTCATCACACAAAGGGTACTCCAATAATTGATCTTTCATTTTCAAGCAATGTGAGAAATCACATGTCAGGATTTATCTTTTCAATGTTCTTGAACATGTCTTTCATAGATGAAGTGGTAAATAAAAGGTTACACCCCTGTTTTCTCTGTAAAAGAAATAATTTGAGTATCTTAGTTTAACTTTTTCATTGATTCTATGTGACCTGCTTCAGTGCAGATAAAATATTTTTGATTGCTGTGCTTCCTTGTATGCAGACCTGTCCTTTGCGTGTGTCTCTGCTTTGTTCAAAGTAATTTCAAGCCATTTTCTTGTTCTGAAGGTTTGAAGAATATTCAAATAGTCCATAATCTCTTCCCTATTACTTGTTTAACTATGTATGCCCATATCCTGTCTCCTTTCTGAGGAGTTTTGAGGAATGCTTTTTTTTGTCCTATGACTTCTTTCAGTTCTTCTGTTCCATTTTGCACAAGATCCCATGGCTGACATTATATTATCAGATAGTGCAGGTGTGAGTAATATTTTCTACCTTTTTTAATTCTTGTTACTGTTTTTTGAGTCTCCACATAGTATATCTGTAATATTTTTGTGTCCCAATTGAAAAATCTTTCCAAGTGAAGTTGTATTCATGCGAGTACCGATATAGTCCATCCTTGCTTCACTGTTAAATCTTACTCTGCTGCAAAAAATTATTCAGAAATATTGTTCCTTTTGTTGACTGAACTCTGATATGATAGTAAGCTGATTGTTTACTGGAGATTATTTAAGTAGTGAATTTGAACATATTCTAAGTCTGCTATTACCATTTATGTGTTATGAAGAGAAAATTTACTGAATGAGGTGTTCTGTGGTAGCTGGGAGAGAGTTACACTTTTGTCATCTTGCCAGCTTTCCTGATTATAAATGTGACATTGGTGAATCCTTCTACACTGCTCTAGATGATTTTGTTTAGGTATTTAATGAACTTTATGCATGGCTGATGTGCAATGAAAGAAATGGGTTCTAGAATAAACCAAAATGTAAAACTATGTAGGAGAAGATGGGGGATTGAGAAGAAGGTAAATTGTCAAAGATGGTTTATTAAACAGCTCAAAAGGGAAAGTTGAGGTACCAAGTTTTTACATTATTTTTCCACCTTGTTACTCAAGGGTCCTGCAAACCTGAGCACTCCTGCCTTGATGTGCATGAGTAAATACATACAAAACATCACAAAGCCTCCTCATGCCTCGGTGAGAGCGCAGTTCAGGTGTTCTGTCAGAGCTGTCGTGGTCTTTGCCGTGGCTCCACGACTGCTGTGAAGGGCAGCAGCTTCCCACCCTGCTCCTGTGCCAGCTCTGCCTGCTGTGCCCTCTGTCCCGTCTTGTGCCAGCTCTTAGGAGCTCTGGCAGTCAGTACCTTGGGGCTTTGGAGGAGGCACAATAATTGTGCAGACAGTGTTTGTGAACTTGTGTGTGCTGCTGCTTTCCCTGACTTGAAGTATTTTTTGTCTGGAGTGCCGTGGAATATCTTCTGGTGTTTCTGGAGTTTTTCCATGGAATGTACAGTTATTTCTCTTTGTTCATCTTCTATAAAGATGAGGCAATGCCCCAAGGCAGACATTCTCAACCTTCTAGGAGCAGGGCTAGTCATTTTTATGGCTCTTTTAAAGTGTTGCTAACAGATTCATAAATACAGCAATTGCAAGTGTTTGCTGTATAGCAAGTGAATTTGAAGCAGTTGATTTCAAGTTTCAAGGTAAAGTGACTCCTTTTACTGAAACTACATATTACAGTTCAGTGCAGATTTTGTGTTCTTTTGGAGGGAAAGATACCACGCTGCACATACTGCTTCTTATCAGCTGCCCTTTTCAGGGCCAGGCTTGGATCTGGTGGCTTTGGCTTAGTTCTGCAGCATGAGGATCACTGTGCTTTAGTAGTCACAGTAATGTTTGGTAAGGCTCAAGCTGCAGCATTGTTGTGTTACCAGAATGTCCTTTTTATAGTATTAATAAAGAATTGGACTTGATGGTTTGGTTTTCATTATTTATTCCCATTACTTTTGAGGATGTCAGCTGTGAAGAACAGTGTAATACAAAATATGTGTATTAGGTTTAAAACAGCCCTGTTGTATGCATTCACAAAAATGGATCCATTCTGATTGTTAAGTGCTTTGTCCCATTTAAACTATTTTCATGCTGTTTGTTTCCCTTGGTTTCTGACCTTTAAGTGTGGACTTGAGTGGTGTATAAAGTCTCAGCCTTTTGTAAAGTCTTGATGATGTTTGTGTTGAAATTCCTGAGACAATAAAAATGCAAACTGCTTTTGAAGATATAAAGCCCATCTTTGGTTTGTCAGAGAGAGATACTTGAAATGATTGGTGAAAATTCTGCAGGAGCACTGGAAATACCATAATTATCCAACTAGTTCTCTGAAGGGCTTAACATTCATTATTACAAGATGAAAGGTCTGGTAGGTTGAAATAGTCATTTGTAGCCATAATTTTTTTTTCTTGTAGTTCCCACCCACTCATTCACCATGCACTTCAACCTCGGAATGATTTCCTATCCTGAGTTCATGGGAACTAGGAACAAGGGAAGCTGTTGTCGTAGCCATTGTAAAAGCCTTAAAAGCAAAAAAAGGCAAGGGAAAGGCTGGACAGCGTGGAGGAACAAGGAACAGTTGTATTGATTTCTTGTTCTTCTGATCTTAAGGCCAATATTAAAAGTACTTAATTTAGAGAACTGGAATTTTACATGATTTCTAGCTTTTATCATCTTTCAAAATGTGCTTTTTTTTGGCATATGACTTTCTGGTACTTCAGCTTTAATTTTTTGTTACTTTTTTATGTTTACTTTCTCAACACTTGAATCTGTTGCACTTTTCTGTTTTGGTATTCAGAGTATTTCAGTTACCTCAAAATGAAACAAGAAAATTCTGAATGTAATTAGTGGAAGGCCCAATGTTCATCAAAAGCTTCCTTGAAAACTAATTTAAATCCATGAAATTCAGGTTGCTTCAATCGAAAAATTAAGGGTTCATGACAACAATACTTTGAAAAATAAAAATAATTCATAAGCATGATAGGTAATGTCGGCCTAAAATTTAGGAAGCTTTCCACGAAGAGATCTGGGAATCAGATCTGTTCCTGTGTTTGAAATTACTTGTTCAAGTTGTGTGGATCTGAATTGGGAGTGAATGGCAATACACTGCAGGTTTTAAATTGCCTCTTTCTAACACCGAGGGATTCAGGAAGTTCTTTAGACTTGGGATAAACCTGTTTCTGGTGGTGATCACGGTTTTCCCTTTTATGAAATTTTGGGCTTGGAAAGAAAAATGGTGGGAAGCAGGTAGGGAATGAGGCTTGTGGGTGTTTTTATGGGGTACCTGGCTGGCTCTTGTTGGGGTTGCTCTGAGTGTGCAGCTCCCTGCAGTGTTGCTGTGTGTTTCTTTGGCTATATTAGATTCTTGCTTGGCTGCTTAGATTATAATTTTTAATTGAGGCAAATGTCATGCCTGTGTTACTACAAGCTTAATTTTCTTAGTATTTTTTAATGCAGTGATAACAGCCTTAGACTTGAACTATCACATTCTTCCCTGGTTCTTATGACTCAGTGATAGCCTATAATAGCTTAAATTCCCAAGGTCTTAATTTCAAAAGAGCTGTGGAATTCAGTGCTTACTTTCACTTGTGTTTTGTTTGTCTTTCTGGGCATTTGTACATATGTTGACAATTTTAAATGGAAACAATTTGAGAAAATGATCCTTAATCTTTTTATGCTGTGGCAATACTGACTGTGAGTTCTCCTCCAGGTGCCCAGATTATCGATTTAATGATGCTTGTGATAGATGTGACAAAAGGGATGCAGACACAGTCAGCAGAGTGCTTGGTAATTGGGCAAATTGCCTGCCAGAAGATGGTGGTAGTCCTGAACAAAATAGATCTCCTTCCAGAAGGGAAGAGACAGAGTGCCATTGAGAAGATGACTAAGAAAATGCAGAAGACCTTGGAAAATACCAAGTAAGTGAACAGTAATACTAACAGATAACTTGTCACAAAATTTGCTTTGGCAGAAATACCAACATTTCTCTTCCAATGTGCTTCAAAACATACTGGCACATCTAGCAAAAATGATGACAAGAGAGTGAAAAGATTTACAGAAACTCAGAGGCAATTCCAAATTAACATCTGCAAGTATCATGTGTAGAGAAATGTCTTCCTGTAATTAAGCATTTAGGTTCAAAGAGCTGCTTGGAGTTTGGATAGGATAATACAAAGCCAGAATATCCAGCTGAAGAACTGCTGGATGTGGTAATAGCACATCTTTGCTTTGCTCAGGGATATAAGGGGACATAACTATTGGGTCACATTTTGAGTTGAAGAATCAAAGGGACAGGATTCTGAGTACACAGGAGAGAGAACCAAAATTCAGTTTTGGCATATTTTGGCATGTGCAGTCTGTGCTTTGAAAGCACTGCTGATCTGGGTGTGATTGCAGTGTGCCTGTCCTGTTGTATCTCAGGCACATGGAGTTTCTCAACAGCCTTTTTCCCACTTGACTTTGAATCTCCAAATGTATTCCTGAACTATTCTTTTTAGCAGGACATATGATACCATTTGACAATTGCCTCTAATGCCAATTGTGGGGTTTTGTTTTTGTTTTTCTTTCAAATAGTTTACTTGTTGAAATGTTTTCACTACACACATAGGTATGCATGTGGAATTCCATAGCAGTCAGCAAAGCTGAAGGCTGTTGCAGTTGTAGAGTAGATGTTGCCACCAATACAGGGGAAATTATTGTAATGTTGTCAGGAAATTGTATGGAAGGCCAAAAAAAAAAAAAAAAGGCAGAGGAAGGTAACTGTTATATATTTGAATAGTTTGATATTTGTGAATTTATCTAAACTAAAAGCAAACTGTCTCTATGAATGGAATTTCTGTTTTTTAAAAAATTTTTTGCACATCAGCTTCTTGCTTTGCCCAGCAGGATCTAAATTCTGCAGAGAGAAATTTGGTTTGATGGAGTAAGAGTTTCAGTAGGGCTGGATCATGTTTAGAAGTGCCTCCAAATGCACTATACAATTACTCCAGTTTGTTCTGGTGTATGGGAAGAGGAGTAAAACATTTGGTTACTCATAAATTTGTTTATTGCAATGCAGTGCTCTGAAATACGCGTATGAAAATAAATTTCAAAAAGTTTTGTGGTTAATCACAGGAATTTTCAGTGCATGTTTTTAGTACCCTTTGTCCTTAGATGCCTCAGGCTTATGGCATGTAAACAAAGAAAATACCTCATGTGCCTCATTACAGCTGGGTCACTGAGTGAGCTCCCTTTCTAGAACTTAACATTTCTTTAGCAAAACCCCATCTCTTCCTTCCAGTTTGCTTCCTTTTGTGAGAAAATCAGTGAGGGGTGGGTGTCAAGAGGATGGCCAAAATAATTAAGTACTTGAAGAATAAAACTGATTGTAGCATAAAAGGGAAACTGAGCTCAGCTGGCTGTACTGCTCCTCTCTGAACGCTTGTGTGTTTGAGATTTGTGAGTTTTGCAGACTTGGATTTCAGTAGATTTAGATCTTTCTGTTGTCTACAGATCTTGCAGAATCAGGTGGGCATCATGAGGCATCTTGCATTTGGCTTCTGTTTTGAAGGTTATGACTTTAGAATTGTAATTGTTTAATGAAAGTTAAAAATGTGCTAGTCTCCAGGTAAAGTGACTTTGGATGCAAACCACTGCATTAATACTGGGTAATAGCAGATGTTTGCTTCTGAAATGAACTGAATCTTGCATTTGACTGTCACAACACTGAATCAGTAGCTAATGTGCAACAGGACTGAAGCTTTCATAGTGAAGTCCAGTAGTGCTGATCTGCTGGTAATTCAGGAAGCAATTGTCAGTCACAGTGAGAGAAGAGCAGATGAATTGGAATTTTAGGGAATTTCCTGGCCTTCAGAGTAGCCTGGTAGTTCTCTATATTGACATGTGTAGAAGATCTGTGGTCTAATGGTGAAAGTCTTTCTCTCTCTTTCAGATTCTCTGGGTGTCCTATTGTTGCTGTTGCAGCAAAGCCTGGTGGACCAGAAGCCCCAGAGTCTGAGAATCCACAGGGTATTTCTGAATTAATCGAGGTACTTGCTGAAGAACATAATGATAACATGAAAACATCCATTCTCAGATGTTCAAAACCCTTAGTTACATGGCATGATGTTTACACTGTGAAGGGCAGGACACCTGAAATAACTGAGAGCAGTTTGTAGCTTGCAATAGACTTGTCACCCTTTCTGTCATTAGCTTAGGGAGAGGAACATCTTTGCCCTGGAGGGATGCCACTGCTGCATCAGACAGCAGAAACAAAGGCATCATTCTTTGAAGACTTGTCAAATTCTGATTTGGATGCTGCCAGGTTTAAAGTACTTATAAATTGCTGAAGTTAAGGTGCAACATCAGTCAAAAATCTAGGGATGCCTGGCCCTGGGCAGCCAGGCTTGTGTAAAGGCAGGATATTGCACAAGGCTGCTGAGCACTGAATGCTGCATCATCTCCCAGGCTGTGTGAGTCAGGATGGCTTGGGAATGGGATGTAGTGTGGCCTTAGACTAGATTTAGCCAGGCCCAATCTGCCCCCAGCAGTTTCTAGAGATGAGGAGATATGCAAGTGCTTACTTCTGCCTTTATCTGGCTCCTGTTAGATTTACTGGGATGTTCTCCAGGATTACAACCTTTGAAGGAAACTCTCATTGCAGCTGTTTTGTCAATTGAAACCTGATATTAGATGAGCTGGCAAATGCTGTGTGAGCCCTGCCATTGAACTTGGAGCTATTATCCCTTCTGTCCTTCCTAAGAGACTCTCCATTGTTCTGCCATTGCATCCTGGGCTTAGACTGCAGGTTTTGACCTTAAAAACAGATGTTAAAGGCAATGCCAATTGTACATGCAGGTGATATAACAGAGAGAGATATCAAAAGTGATTTGAGACAGGAGTGAACCAGTTCCTTGGAAGCACTGTTGAGTACATGACTTCCTTTTTATAATTAAAATATTTTGTCTGATTATATATTTTAAGAAACATAGTATTTGTCAACAAAAAAAAATCCCCACTAAACTCAGAATTTCTCTAGAAGGTGGTACTTAGGTAGTTTTTCCTAATGGATTGATCCTTCAAGAAGCACTAACAAAAATCTGAAGGGGAAGTTGAATTTGAAAACTTAACCCAGTATTACAGTTTTTCTGGGAGGGAGTCAGAGATGGGCTTTATGGGGCACTAATATCTGTGCGTAAGTTCATTTTCACAAAATCCAAAAAAGCTGAAGTAGCAAAATGCTCTGTAAAATTGTGCTTTTGAGAGAGGGAGGAAAAAGGGGGAGATGACACACATAGTTTTTTTCCTCTTTGCTTTGCTGCAGTGTTTATATTGAGTTTGGCAGCAACTTTATCGCCAGTGAGGTTTTGCTAACCAAGCTAAATGTGCAGCACCAAATCTTTCTAAGGCAGAAAATCGAACTTTTCCTGCTGCTAAGTGTGCACCTCCCCTATGGCACACACAGTTAATTTGACATTGGTGAGTTCTAAGCTCATTGGGAGATGCCTGAAATCAGTAAAATTGCAAGCTTGTTCAATCAATCATCTGCTTGCCTGCCTTCTGCTGTGTTGCTGTCATGACTTTTCACCCAGGCATGGTGCTGCTTTTATCTTTTTTTTCAGGTCTTGAAGTCTCAGGCTTACCTGCCATCAAGAGACCCCTCAGGACACTTCCTTATGGCAGTTGACCACTGTTTCTCTATCAAGGGTCAAGGCACAGTGATGACAGGGACCATTCTTTCTGGCTCTGTTAGCCTTGGTGACAATGTGGAGATTCCTGCCCTGAAGGTGAGTCTCTCATTTTCATTCCCCCTGGTTTTCCTGATAGAGACATTCAACAAAGAAGAGAGTGTTCTCATCCAGTCTGAAATTACTCATCTGTTTTCAATTTTTATTTTTGTATTCTCTTATGCCAGCTTATAACAGTGAGAGGCATAGTAATTTTTAAATAAGGCAGTCAGTAAAGTCACCTGCTCAATAATTTAGCTGGATGAAGAGAAGACTGATCTAGATTAGCATGTTAGGCTTTCAAATTCAGAGAAGCAAAGTGGGCATATTTCCAAGCTGGGATGCACCCAAGGACTGAACAAGGTTTGAGGGAGGTTACTCTCATTTGAGATATGCTGCAGTGAGAAGGTTTGCAAAAGAGTCCATATAGGTAGGCTTCCAAAAATGTCTGAAAGCAAAGGAAATGACAAGAAGAGGGCATTGAAATGCTTGATGTACATTCTCTTTGTTTGCTGAGGCTTTAATTTGTGTCAGCATGTTCTGAGAGAACTGCTGGGATGCAGTAGGTGGCTTGCTGCTACTGGGCTCTTCAGAGAGCCTGTAGAAAGTCAAAGAGACCTTCCAATGGCCTTTGAACTGCTCAGCTGTTGTTACTGTTTAATTTCCTTAAAATATATATTCACCCTTTAAAAGAAAACAAAGTGACTTTATGCTTGGAACATGTGAATCTGTTTCATAGGTGCTGATGATCACTACTTTGATTTTCCCTTAGTATTAATTGCCCAAAATGAATTAGGACTTGAGGAGTATTTTGCAGCTGCCACATAAAAGTGGACTGAGCTGATTAGAGTCTGTGGGCAGGCAAGTTGTGGCCTACAAGCAAGGATGGGACTCTTTTGGTGCTGTCAGTATTATCTTCAAGTCATTTTACTGTAAGGGCCTTACTATTTCATTGAGTGAACATGCTGTTTTCTCATTTTGACTGTATTGGTTGGACAGGTGAAGGGCTACACAAGGCATTCTGATCTCACCTGAGTGAGGTATTTGGCTGATAGTGGACATTCATTTCTGCCTTTGCATAGAAGTGGTTTGTACCATATGTACTCTGACATTTCTGCTTCCCCAGTCAAGTTCCTCACTGCCCATATTCTAATTTACAGCATGCAGCCTATTTTGGGAGCCATGCTTTCAATTCCTGCACAGATTATGATTGCTGGGGTTGTAGCTCTAGCTTCAGCTTCTCCTGGTTTCCACTTGGCAGCGTTCTTTCCTTTGCTGTTGTGTCCTTTTCTCAGTCCTGGGCCTGCCTGTGCTTGGGGTCCAAAGAGGGCCAAGTAGTTAGGAGTGCAGGGAGTGGGAGATGGCTCCTGCCCAAACAGGGCCTTGCATAGTGAGTTCACTGCTTTCTTTTTGACATAGCATTTGCCAAACTTCCTGTCATTTTGTGCTCCAGGAGATGGGGGAGACAGGGCAGAGTAATTATTTCTTGCAAAGAAAGAATGCATCACTAGATTATATCTGGAAATGACTATTCTGCTTTTCATCTGTAGTCCAAGAATGTTTTGAAGAAATGTGTTTAGGAGTAAATCTGCTTTTTGAGAATCCATATGAAGGAAGAAATGACAAAAATATAGTAAATTACTTCTGAATTGGTGTTTAAAAGTGGAAATAGACTTTGTGTGTTTTCCAACAGTGGAAAAGACTTTGTGTGACTTTTTTTTAGTGGGTTTTCTTCCCAGGTGACTGGGAGAGTAGTCACTGAAGTGACAGGCAACTTAGCAGATGGACAAGTCATTTGCCAGACAAGCCAGATCACTTGGCTCTTATGGCATTAACTACTTCCCTCAAAGTTTTAGTTATTTTCCCAGTTGTTGTTAATGAATTAAACCTTCCACTGCTGTGTGTGAAATAGAAGGTGTGTTCATGCCTTGGGATCATAATAGTGGTGGGCACAGTTTTGCGTTTTGGCACTAGCAACTTGAGGACATTCACCTTCATGTTGCACAGGTACGGAAACCAAGGCACAGTAAAAGGGAGCAATGTTTGTAAGTTTGAGCTGTGTGTTGTACTTGCCCCTGCCAGCATCACGCAGAGCTGGGTTAGGATACCTATAAAAGGTCAAACCTTTCTCAGGCGTACAAGGTAACGGAGGAAGCACATTTCACAACACATTGTGGTTTATGACTCTCTCTGACCTTTCCTTGCCCTGACCCAATGGTAACTGAGATTGACAGCTGGTACATTTAGGGACGTTACAAACTAGCTGCTTTTTTTTAAATTTGAAGAACCCTCTCACCAAATGAAGTGGCATCACCTTCCAGTTCTACTAATGGACTTCGACATCTTTGACCGCTTGAACCTGCACAAAGGAGGGACACAGCAATTAAAAATAAACAGTGACATTCTCAAATGCCCATGCTTGCTCTGATTGAGGCTGAGAGCACCAGCAGTGCATGGATTCCTTTATGCTTTGCCTATGTAAATTGCCATCTGGGGTTGATTATCCATATAGCAAAAAGAAAAATTATATATATGTGTTTGGCAAAAAGCTTTGACACAGCAAACAGTCCACTATCCAATTGAGTTAGTACTATTTGCTCCTTAGCACTTGAAATCCACCTTGAAGAGCATGAACCTAGGATTTCTGCAGCAAAAACAGAGTGTTGGCAAAATTCTGAATGTCATTTAAGATTATTTCAGTGGTCTTTCAATCTCTATAGTCTTTGAGTTTAAAAACTGCAACAACTTGTGACACTTGTATTTCTGCTTTATAAAAGTTACTGGAGTTTGAATAATAAGGATTTTTTGCAATTTAGTTTTGTTTTTATTTTACTAATATCTGAAGTGTAGGTTGTTTAGAAATTTCAGTTTAAATGAGGATGAATGTCAAACTCCAGTGCTGCTGGGTCTTTTTATAGCACACTTCAACTGAAAAAGAAAAGTGTTTTCATTTCAGTGGGAGGAAGGCATCTTTTGCCTTCCTTATCCAGGTGAGAAAGATTGTAGAAAAAGTCAAGTCTGAATTGGGTGAGGAGACAGAGAGAGATGTACACAGCTCATGGGCCTGGTTTTCCTGGATGTGTCCACTCAGCATTGCCTTACTGTGATCAGGGCTGTGGGTATACAAGACCCAGAGCACAGGTGTGGCAGCCCAGTATGAAGACCACTGCTGGGGCTCTATTTCAGGAATTGTAAGAAGTAGAAACTTTTCTCTTTGCCTTATAGTCAGGTTCCTGTTTGTCGTGTTTAATGAATTGCTAACAAATGCTGGAGCAGATTGATGCAAGCTGAGTGGCTGGTGAAGGTAAATAACTGACTTGGAGCCTCTGTAAAGTCCAGTGCTGCCATTTGTACTGTGTATGTGTCAGAAGTTGTGAGTGTCTTGAATGCTGAGTAGCTGTGTTCCTGCTGAGTGGTTCCATTCATGTTTTTCTCTAGGGTATGATGTGGGGATTCTCGCTCTGTGCTGAATCTCAATAACATATCTGATGTTGTATGGTAAAAAGTTGTTTCTTGTGTAATAAATCTCATTAAAAGGGAAGAGAAATATTCCTATCAGCTCCAACCTTCACCATCCTGGAGGTTGGTAGTAGCCAATTACCATTATTAGTGTGGAGCATCTCAGTCTCCAAAGTTGCAAGCACACTTATGAAATGCTCCCCTCGTATTGCAGAGCAGTCATACAGATTGTTTCAATACTCAGGTGAACTTTCACAAGGTCATGTGAGACCTAGATATGAAAAATGTGAGGAACTTGCTTCTGTTTATCTCATCAAGTCTCCTAGTAAATGAGAGTGTTGGTGGAAGCCAGTAGTGGTTCTGTCTTGGCAGGAGCCTATTGACTGTCAAATTATACTGACTTCATGAACTTTAAAGAAGCATAGTTTTGTGTGGCTTCATGACTTCATTTACTTTCACCATATGAAAAGAGATGTTTTCTTCTAAGCTTTTTTTTGTTGGCTAGATAACCTTGGTCTGTGTTTTGGCAAACATAGCTTTTATGACTGATACAACAAAAAAATTCTCCACTGTCTGATAGAATAACTCAAATACTATTTGCAAAGCTTTTTTCTTCAAAGCATTGTAGCTATTAAAACTGTAACAGAGGTCTACTTTTGTCCATATAAGTACCTCAGTCTATCTGATGTCCCAGGACCTCTGATAAGTGACCTTTAGTATGTATGTACACGTAGTAAGAACTAATTTTAGCTTATTTAAGGAATTTTGCACAATCAGAGTTGCACAGTTAAGCCTTGTCAGAGGGCATTTAAATCTCAGAAAACAAACCTGGATCAAACCCCACTGAACTGGACCACAAAAACGTCTGTATATGGACTTTCATGGTTCAATCTTAAAGAAGCTTTTGCTTTTACCATTTTGAGCACTTTGGACCTCCTAATATGCCCCTTCCAAATTGCAGTCAATGTTGATTGCTTTTAGCACTGCAGATAGAGAACCCTTGCTGTATATTCTGGGAGTATGTCTGAATACTGTTTCTACATCTGCTTCTTCCTGTGCTGCTTGGGTTTTTCTTGCCCAATACTGATATAAACAGCCTTTCAAATGCAACAAGTCCTCTGCTGGGAGGGGAGTTTTGCTTGCCTTGAAAGTTTTCTTTTCACTGGAGTGCTGTGAAGAAGGGCAGTTCGGAGAATTGGGTAGAGGGAGAATTGCCTAAATGTAGCTGGTAAATTGTGAAAAGGTAGTTTATGGTGCATATTAAAAGATGTGGGTGCAAAAATGCAAGAATCTTAAATCATAAAGCAATAAATTAAATGTAGAAACATAATGTTTTACATGCTGTTTAATGCAGTACAAGAATGAAACTTTTTTTATTTCTCTGCTGCTTCTAAAACATGGATTATGGTTTTTTGGAGATTTTCTTCTTTCCTAGAAAACATCAGTGTGAATCCTACTGGTTTTGCATCTGCTGTGGCATTTCTTAAAAGCAAAATATGCAGGATTTGGCTTATACTGGAAAGTACTCTGCTTTGAGCATTTAGGATATTATCAGTTGTTTTGGAAGAACAAAATTGCTCTGCACAATTCTTTGTGGTTAA